CTCTCGTCCTCTCTTATCGCTGCTATACCCACCACGAACGTTTGCAACGCCAATAACACAATCATTCCGGCAATGGAACACGCGTAGCGTCATGGCTAGCGCTGTCGCACGGGGAGGGGAGGACCAGCTGCACAACGAAGTACGAACGATCAACTCGTTAGTATATTACCAATAAAAATCTCATATAATAAATTCTTCGTTCTAATCTTAGTCTTCCTCTTTTTCTGACGATACACCCGTCGCATCAACCTCCTACTCCAACACATTCACTCTACCATCGCCACATAATCACAACTCCGACAACGCAACTCCACCGCCTCCCAAATCCAAACGAAAACGAACGACGACGGCGCGTCGACAACGTTCGTCGGACGGTCGAACCATCCCTCCACGACCCCTGTCCGACGAACGCCCCAAAACTCTTATGGACGTCGCGTTCACCGCAACCGCGTACCTCAACAGACACGCCGAAATCCATGCTGCAAAGGCACAGAAGGCGGCCCAGGCGTTATGGGAGGAGGGTTCTCGCGCGTTTTTACAAAGACACCCTGAATCACCACCAGACCAGTTCGCGGGACGTAGCGTGCAGGTGCCCGAGGGTCCGAATGGCTTTACCAGAGCATACAGAAAGCTCAATCAGATACTGATGGAGAATCGTGTCCGAAAGATGGTGAAGAGGCAGAGTAGACACGAGAAGAAGGGTGTCAAACGGAGAAGGTTGGCGAGCGAGACGCACCGAAGAAAGTTTGCTCAACTAGTACGTCTCTCGTCACTCATATCACGACTTCGTCCTCACCTATCCCTCGCCCCAGGTGCGCAGCAAGGTGGCCTTGGTGCAACGGATCCGTGCTCGTGGGTCTTGACCATGTATTACTTTGCACTTGCTTTTCGTGATTATGAACCTCATTATTTCCATCATTCACATCGAGCTCGTTATAAACACATCGTGAGGAGACAGCGATAACAATGTCAACTAGCAATCACAGAAAGTACGTGAAGACAACAAAATCGAAAACAGGATCATCATGTAAACCTAGCTATTTAACTCCGTTTCCTTTTACTCCTCTTGATAACGACTGGAGGCGGTTCCGGCGAAGCTTCCAGATCTGGATCATCCGCATAAACGTACTTGACTACCACCACCACATCCTTCGTAAGGCAGTCCAGGGGGCGGTCTGCATCTGGCACGTTTCCGCGGGTGTCAAGTTGATAGGCCTGTCAATTACGTCAATACTCAAGTCAGATGGTGAAATCCAATGTTGTACGCACATCTGCCCCCTTGGCCAATATGCCCTTTGGTTCACAAGTCGGACGAGAGTTACTCTCGCCTTCACAATCAACCACCAACTTACGGTCCCACCTAACGTATCGGCCTTTTGAGTTGGGTTTGATGAGACGTTCCACCTCCCGGGTCTCTTCGCTTGTCGTCGGGCTTGGTTCCTTCGACGTGAACGGTATCGCAGGAACAGGCCTATCGTCGGCAGGTCCGTCCAGTTGGAGCGCTGCAAGCGGCTCCGCATCAACCTCACAGGTAGAGAATTTCCCGTTATTGTCGATTTTCCGCCTCTTTGGCGTGTCGTTGTCGTCTTCATCTCCTGCTCCACGGAAGTGATTCATTTCCGAGTCCGCCGGTCCTTCGTCTTCTTCGTCATCCATCTCATCCTCGAGCAATCCTCTCCGCCTTGCCCTTTCTGTTCTTTCATTCTTCTTCTCTTCCTTCTCCATTTCCTCGGCGAGCAACAGATTCCGGACCTTGGTACTCGGCGAAGGAGGCCTTGGGCAGTCTTTGCGTATGATCCGCCGCTCGATTTGCGCCACAGGTTGTTGGTTAAGAGTAGTGTTTCGAAGAGTCAAGGCTTGCCATTCACGTTCTGGAGCCGTAGGTTTCGATGTCGTTGTTCGTGCCTTGCGCGGACGTATTCTGAGGGATAGGGTAGCTGGGTTGTTGGTATCACCCGACGTGGGGTGTTCGTCCGTGGCTGGGTCCTCGAAACCGCCTGGGGAAGGTCGGCGTCCGTTCTCTTTCTCCTTGGAGAGTCTCCTGCTTCGACGTGGAGGTGGAGAATCGTCCGTCGGTCGACTTTCTGAGGGACCTGTCACTGTTCCAGGAGATTCATTGGACAAATGGTTGTCCTGTGCCTCTGGTGCAATACCATCTAATGAAGTCCGCATGGTGGGGGATGAAGATGAACTAGGCCCAGGCGCTGACGATCCCTGAGTAAGATCTGGGGTAGCCATAGGCTTGCCTTCCCATCCAGTCAACGTTCCGGGGACTACCGGTCGGAATATCTTCTTCCTGGGGGGTGGGGGCTGGGCAGCCGCTGCCTGCATGGCAAAATTAGGCACCGTCTCTTCACGAAGTGGAAAACATACCATTGAAGGGGATCCATTCAACGAAACCTGAGGCACATGGACCATGTTTACAGTAGTCACACCGCTAGGGCCGTTGGACCGAAGCCTACTGTTCTTTTGGCTAACAGCTGAGGTCGAATGAGCTGGGCGAGGCAATTTTGAAATGCCTTTGGCAGTCTTTAGGGTAGGAAGACACGTAGGTTTCGCCCCCGGAGGTGCCATGACCTTTGGTGGGAGGTTAGCAACATTGATAGGCTTCATAGATGAAGGGATTTCGGTAAATTTGGTCATCGATGGAGACGCGGGATGGTGAAGATGAGGAGCACCAAGCACCTCCCGTCGCTCGAAAGGCTTCTGTGAGCCCAGCGTTGCCGGACGTACGGGAGAGCCTAGAACAGAGCCCGCCACAACACTAGAAACCTTATGAGGACTGCTTATCCCGAACCTCAGCGTGTTGGGGGTTGGCTTGGAGGCAGGCAGACTACTTGTTCCAGCGTGTCCAGAGGTAGGTTTTGCGGAGGCGACAGGCTTTGGGGTCATTTGAGAAAGTAAATCTACGTCTACCACTAATGGTGTATCCGGGTTAGTCGCGCTCGTGACCGCTTTTTCTGGTGACAACGGCATTGGGGTGGCCGTCGAAAAAACAAACCGAAAGTCGGAAGGAAGCGGAGTAGGACGTGCCGGAGAGGCCTTGTATTTGATCGTTGGTCGAGTAGGGGAACCGAGCGCCGAGGCCTTTGACAAGAGCGATCGGCCGGGTGTGGGGCCTGCGGGAGTTTGTCGAGGCGTAATTGGTCTAATCGGAGTTCCATAAACCGACGTTTTGGCAACGCGGTGTGGAGACGGCGGAACTTTCCGAGGTGTGGCATGAGGAGTCGGGATGGACGACTTGACGGGTGAACTGAAGGATTGACGACGTTGGTCGTCGCTAGTAGAAAAGCAGCTGGAAGAATCGGTATTGAGTACTGCTGATAACGCTTCTGGAATTGGCAGGCGCGACAAAGGTAATACTCTTGTTGGGGGTCGATGCGAAGGAACGTTGCCAGTAGTGGTTGAGCCTAAGGCGAATTGCCGTCGGTGAGCAGGTGGTGTCTCTGGCACGGGCTTCAACTTCTTTGCCGGTCTTTCTTCATCAGAATCTTGAGGTCTTGACGAGGTGTCGTCTAAGCTGGGGGTTGAACACTCCAGCAGAGGAGTGTCGCTCTCCATTTTCCGAGGAGAGACGTATTCGCATTGCATTGTATGTTCAAATTCGACAGTGCCAGTTGATGGGGAAGTCAGTGAGTTGGGTATATCTGGTTGACCGTTCTCATTCCTCGGGGTCAACCCGGCTTGTGGGACCGGTCGGAAAGGTAAGGAGAGCTGTTCAACAGGCTCTGGAGCCACAGAGGATTCATGAGCCGCAGAGAAATCACAGGGGGGAGGGTTAGTCGGGCTTGCGGCTTGTGAAAGTGGCTGTCGGCCTAAGTCGTCAGGGGTTGGTCCACTTTGGTTGCAGCCCTCTGCACGAGCTCTGGCAAGACTATTGATGGTCGCACCGGCAGATTCCATGCACGCGGATTCTGGTGGTGCGGACAATATCGATTGCTCTTCAGGCCTGACAGCTGCACAGTCAATCACACGACAGGGCAAGCTATTCGGATCCAATTGCTCTTCCTGTTGCACTAGTTTCTGGCTGGGGCTCTGAAAGTATTCAGTCATCAATGGGAGAATTTCCGTCTGTGACCAGATATACTCACTGTCGATGGAGCAGGACCAACGTGCTGGTGGTTCGGCGCGTCTTCTGTGCTCGAAAGGCCAATAAGGCGTCGAATGCGAATGAAAGACAGACAACATACCGTCCTCGGGTATGATCTCCAAAGCCGACAGTTGAGGTTCATTATGTGCTGGACCTACTACAGTAGATGTTGGCGTCGCGGAAGGTATGTCAGGGGTGGTCTGAATTACAACATACAACGTCGAGCAAGTCTTTCTTGATAGTACTGCTCTCGTGGGTGACGTTCACGAGAGAAAAATATGCCAGCATCGTCATAGTGCTCGTCGAGGTCGGCGTCAGTCAAACATGAGGGAGATGCGGCAAACGCCATTCCAGGAGGGGGAAAGGAAGGTGAGAACAACGGCAGGCGGTCAATGTTTGGTTCTCGACTCGGCACGTGACTGGAAGTTTGATTATCACGCTTTGCCCGAGTCGGTGACTATCGCCCTTTGATATGACAATGCCCATGACAGAGTTAATCGCCTTTTCTAGATAAACACATTTACTTATACATGGCTTCAATCACCGTACTCTACTTTGCGTCGGCCAAATCCGCGGTGAACCTTGTATCTGAAGAGATCATCCTCCCCTACCACCCTTTCCCTCTCAACCTGCTTGCAGGATATCTGGAAAGCCGTCATGCTGACACCGATATTGGACGTGTTTTGAAAGCGAGTAGCTGGAGCGTGGATGCTCAAATGATTCCTGATGATACGGTGGCGTCTGTGCTGTTGCAAGGAGGAGAAGAGGTCGCCGTGATACCCCCTGTTTCTGGAGGGTGAAACTGCCCGAATATATTGTATGGGTGTTGACACAGGACCCGAATCAATGCGCCGTCAGAGACGTTGTTCATGATTCAAAAGGGAGATCCGTTCTGCACCCAAAAAGGAAATTCCCTCACACAGAGTCGAACTATGGACCTCGTCATCGCACAAGGAGTACTAGTGACGCGCTCTACCACTGAGCTATAAGGGAAGTGTGTAATAGAAAATGCTGAATAGCAAATAGTCCCATGCGTTAAGATTGCAAGCTCCAACATTACTACCCTCTAAACAACGAAAGCTCGACCTAAGCAGCTGCAATCCATTGGCGAACGAATCCCGAAGCTTCGCTCACCATTTCCTTCGTGAGTTCATGGCCTGCACCTTCCTGCAAGACTACACGTTTCCTCCCCTTCTCACCCACCACAAGGCGGTTGACAAACGGCTCGCTGAACACCCATGGTACGAGCTTGTCAGCTGCACCGGACAAGACGAGGATGCGCTTGCTAATCAGAGGGTTGCAATGCTCGGCACCGTCGAAAACGATAGACACTGGGTCATTTCTTTCAACATACGCTCGGAGCGACTGGGGAATCAAAGGGGGGCTCGGATCCAAAGCAAGCCGACGGGCACGATCCTCCATGAGTGACAAGTAATCCGGACAACCTGCATATTCCGTTGAGGGAGACCGTGAAGATGAAGATATGCACACTCGCCTATTATGGGAATGCCCAGGCTAACTCGAGGCTCTACGCATTCAAGCACATGTTAAGCATTGCCACGGGGTAGGGTAGAGTAGCATACACTGACCATCTTTGAGAACGATCCAAGCGGCATGTCCTCCAAGAGATATCCCAATCACACCCCAGTCCACAATCTCCCGCTCACCATTAGGATAAAGGTATGCAGGAAGGAAATCGATGAGAAACGATACGTCGCTTGCCGCCCCAGCTGACCAAACGCAAAGGCGAGTGAGCAGATCGCCCCTGGTAATGGGAATCCCTCGTACTTTGCATGGCGTACATATCAACCCTTGTTCAAGCCATCGGATCAGCATGACGCATATAATAAGCTTGCTGGGACTCACGCATGTTTTTCATTATGCTTATCAATACACTTCGTATTCCACGACAGATTAGACTTGGGATTGATCAATCGCGAGCCATGGTTGCGATGGTCCTGCCATATATCATGAAACCATAATATCTCTATGGTAATAAATCCACTCACAAATGTAATGACTAGCAGTTCCTTAGCCTGGGGCTCGTCGTTAGAGGTGTTCAAGAGGCTAGAGGCGAAGGTTTGGATCTGTTCAGCCTCCGACGACGAAAGCCGACCATGCAATAGAAAAACAGCGGCCACGGGGAGTGAAGATGACTTCTCGGTGGAATAGACATGTACAAAGAGTCCAGCGACGGGAAGGGTAGTCTTGACGATCGGCATCGAGCTTGGTTGGTGGCGGCGCCAGGCACGCTTGTCGGTATTTGTCGTGTCATTGGAATTTTGTCTCGACCTGGTAACTCTCACCACAAGCATAGGAAACCCCTCAAAGCTTCCACACCGAGACGTTGTTGATTCATACTTGCCACGATGCGTAAGAGACTGCATCTCCCGCTAAGATTCAATGTAACCTAACGCATTTTGTTCTTGGCCAGCTTCGAAAAAACCTCAAAAGATGGCCCTAACCGACTTCCTCCAGGACTCATGTGAGATCCCCAACGGTTGGGCTCTGGAAGCCATCTGATCGTGTCGTCCATGTAGCCTTGGGGTCGTGGGCCGATGAGATGGACAGTCTACCCACCGCTCGTATGTGCTGTTACCCATTCGTCCAAGTCAGATCATTGACCATTTTACCCTCTGGCTCAAATAGCTGCCGCAAGGACCGATGATGATCGCTCTAGAGGCCGTGGTGACCGGGATTACGGAGGTCGAGGGTTCGATGATTATCCCCCTAGAGGTGCGCACAATCCATCCATGCTCCACCTGCCTCTCCAGTTGATAAGCCCAATGAATAACCAGAGAGTCGTTATCCCCCTCGAGAAGAGCTACCTCTTCCTACTGCACCCCCCTACACCGCTTTTATTGGCAATCTTGCTTTCGACCTGCGGGAGCGAGATGTTGAGCAATTTTTCTCCGTTCCCGTTCGTCGTTTGCCGATGTCATTATTTTTTTCCACTGACGTCTTCTTTGCAGCTCAAAAGTGTCAAAATAATTAAGGATCGGGAAGATAAGCCTAAGGGCTTTGGATACGTCGAGTTCGAAAGCCTTCAAGATTTGAAGGATGGTCTTGCTAAATCTGGCACGGTGAGCTTTACCCTGAGAGGCATTGACCATCTTCCTGAATTTCTGCTGTCGGTTTGTAGCAACTTGCCAGCCGAACAGTCCGTATTAGTGTCGCAGAGCCCCGTGAGTTTCCTTATGACCTCTCGGAGTAATTGATGTTAACGTATCATGGACAGAGAAGGAACGTGAGGATGACAAATTTTCTGCTCCCTGGCGCCGTGACGGTCCGCTCCCTTCTCATGATCGAGGTCCAGCCGCTCGAGGTCCATCCCGGTTCGACAGTGCGCCCGATCGCGGCGAGCGAATGGGCTTTGGCTCTCGATTCGTACCTAGCACTGACGGACCCCGTGGTGGCCCATCGAGAGGAGAACCAGCTGGCCCCACTGAGGCCGAGACGAATTCCGATTGGAGAGCTGGTGCTCGGCCGGCCCGAGCCCCGCCGACTCCAGAGAGACCAGGTCCTCCTTCTCGTAAAATCTCCGGTTTCTCCAGCCAGGATGGTCCTGCACATGCAGCCGATACAGAAGACACCTGGGCGAAAGGTTCGCGATTCACTCCATCAGAGTCGTCTGGCCCAAGTGGTGGGACCCAGAAAAGTTCATTCTTCGGCAAACGAGATGGCGGGTTCCGTGGGTCTGAAGAAGACCCTGGCGACTGGAGATCACCTCGCAAACAAGCACCAGCAAACGGAAGACACGGAAGCTTCGATCGATCCAGTAAGTTGCTAGAGTACAACCTCCTCCCCACTTACTGACCTTCATCCCAACGACAGCGAGCGAATCAGTACCCTCCACTCCCAATATGGGTCGTCGCAAACTAGAACTGCTACCCCGCACTTCGAGCCAGTCGACCGCCACGTCTCCTGTTGGCTCTCCCAAATCCTCCACCCCGGCTGCTCGGGCTAACCCGTTTGGTTCTGCTAAACCTGTCGATGCCCCTGCAGCTCGGGAGAAAGAAATCGAGGACAAGCTGGCCAGAGAGCGTGGAGGTAGGTTGAAAGACCGGAGTAATGATGCTTCCGTCCCTTCTGGTCGTTTCCAAGATCGCGCCCCACAAGCCTCAGCAAATCCCCCCCAAGATAATTGGCGTGACCGACGGTCCGGCCCGCAAAATACCTCTCGTCCTTCCTCTGCATCCCATTCTCGAGCTACGTCGAATGACGGTGCTATCACTCCTCCGGGCCAGAACGCTGCTTCTGGTCGAAAGCAGCACCCAGCATTCTCCTTTGCTGCCTTGGCCAGTGATGCGCCAGTAGAAGGGGAAGAAGAAGATGGCGATGTGTCCGCTAACCCGGTGCCTCAAGAAGTCCATGTCGACTGATGTATTATTAAGCAAGCAAGAGTTGTAACCGCTCTGAGGCATTATCGAGCCATCACAATCCCCCCTCTCTCACTATTCGTTCGTAGCTCTTCGTTCCTCGTTCGTCATATCACCGCTTAATGTTTAATGAATGTACGATGTCGATCTACATGTTTTGCCAGCCCTATGTCCCCCACGTCGCACTCTAGGACTTTGTATAGCGAATAAATTGCCTTTTGATCGCGATCGTCTCGTTACAAGGTGTTGTTTCATCAAACATTACCATCCGTCAGTTGCTTCCGGATCGCGGAACTTCATCCTGCCACGCCCTAGAGAGGTTGTTAGATGTCCGTTTCATGACCGTACTCTAGCCCAAGTCAAACCTTTGTAATTGATCCCATTGCTCGACGTTCCTACAGGAGCGCGTCTCTTCATCTCCTCTACCTTTCGTCGCCTTTCTTCGGCGAGACGCTCTTTCTCTTCCCGTTCCAAGCGAGCGTCCAGTTCTGCCTCTGTTTCTTGTCGCGACTCCTTTTCGCGTCGCCGATCCCTTCCGCTGTCGTCAGCAGAGGGAGATCGGCGAGATTTCTTCGACTTGTGCTTGGATGAACGATCGCGATGTCCGTCGTTATCCTTTTTATGGGATTTGTGCTTACTCTTGCGACGCTCATGGTCACGATCTTCGTCGGATTCATACGAACCACGAGAAGAAATCGAATGACGTCTTTTTGAGCGGCTGGGAGATTTCGATGAGGGGGAGACAGACCGGGGCAGGGCTACACGATGGTGGCATCAGGGCGTTACTCCTCAATCGAGAGTTTTTGAGGGACTTTAAACGTACGTGGGGCAACCTTAGGCGCAGTCTTCCTCAACTCGAGTTCTCCGCAGTGCGAGATCACGACTGGCTGCAAAGGACGGTCTTTTCCGTCCACGGGAAGTTTGGAGATGCGAACAGCAAGCTCGTAACCTTCGGAGCAATATGGATCAGTCCGAGAAGCCTCGTGGTAGCAAAAGCTTACCAGAAACAACGCGACCAAAAACGACATGCTTCCCATTTAGATGTGGACAGGGTCGGAGAGTGATGAACCACTGTGACCCATTCGTGTCAGGCCCTAATGAAAGAATTGGAGTCATTCTTAATGGTTTACCCCTTCACGGGCGTACCTTTATTGGCCATCACTAACAAGCTGGATGAAAGGGAAGAAGGTCAATATGGCCTACCGTCTTCATAAAACAAAGGATGTTCGTCACCCACCCTTCGGCGTCCACTTCGCGACTCAGATCTTCGTCCTCAAAGGGATCTCCATAGATACTCTCGCCACCTTTGCCGTTGCCACGTGTGAAGTCTGACCTCGCGGATTAGCGTAGTCCACTACATAGAAAACATCAAACAAAAACTCACCACCACCTTGGATCATGAACTGAGCAATCAAACGGTGGAAAGTCGATCCTCTATAGTGCAGCGGCACGTCTGAAATTTTGGATGTCCCTAGTTCTCCGGTGCAGAGTGCCCGGAAGCTGTAGACAATACGTGAAGTCCGACACCATGCAAAGCGTCAAGTGGAGCCACATACTTTTCACATGTCTTGGGTACAATATCGTTGAAAAGCTCAAATACGATACGTCCTGCAG